GGTTTGGTGTTCCTGCTCAGGGACTGAGGACCCTCCGGACACTGCGAGCCCGGCGAGAAAGGCACACGCGCCTAGGGCCATGCTCTCAGTGGAAATCATGTCCCCCGGGAAGGAGGCGCGGATCGGGCGCGGATCGGGCGGGCCCGGCCCTCCAGCCGTGAAGGCCCCCCAGGCCGGCTCTGCGGCCTCAGCAAGCAGAGCCTGGACGCAGAGGCAGGCTCGCCCCGCTTGCGATGGGACAAGGACCTGCTGACGCCCTTGCTGCCTCCTCCTCAGCTTCACAACTGTCTTCACGCTGCAGGAAAGCCCCCAAGCTGTGCCCCCGCCGGTGACAGTCCCTTGCCTTGGTCAGAACACGGTACCTAAGGAGCCAGATCGTTTTCTCCTTTGTGACGCCAGGGGGACTGTTTCTGAGAACAGGGAGGCACCCGTGTCTCTGAGCCTGACCTACGCTCCTCTGCATCATTTATACAAACCAGGGGCAGGTAAATGCAAAGCAGATTTCCTCCAGCCTCCGAGTGCCCTCGACTCGGCCACAAAGTGTCTGTTCGTGGAATGATTGCAAGTTGGCGTGTGCGGAGGTAACATACGAAATCAGGCTCAGGCTAAACCCTTCTGTCTGCGCAAAGATGAGAAAAAGAAATGGGAAGAATGTTCTCAGAAAATCCAGCTGCACCCACCGGGGAAGGGTGTGCCTAGGTGCCAGCTTCACTCTGCCTTCCTGCCCTGGGGGCATGGGTGTTTACAAACGGGCTGAGTTGAGCCCCCCGTGGGGCATCTCTGACAGCCTCTGGCCCCCGAGAGCCTCCAGATATGGGCACTGGAGGAACCCATCTTTGCAGAGGGCGATCATCCCAAAGAAGCCTCCCCGATGGGAGACGCCAAGGACAGCGACCGGGAAGACCGTGGCGTGACTGTGAGCGGGGCCCAAGCAGGCGGGTGCAGAAGCAGAGGGAGCACGTGGTGCCGCTTCGAGCCTGTCCCACACGTGGGGGGCCCCCCGACTTTGCAGGCCACCCCTCCGTCCCTGTCACTTAGGAGGACTTGCAGGGGCCATTTGTTCTGTGACTTTGCTCAGCCCAGTTCTCTGCTCTGTATGCAAGAGGTGGGCAGGAAGACTATTTGAAGGCCAGGCCTCGAGCACCGCTGCCCTTGGAAGTCCTCGCTCTGGGGAGCTAAGGCAGTGCACAACACCAGCCTCTTTCTGGGTCCTGCTAGCGCCCACTGGGGGAGCTGAGCCTCGGGAGAACATGTGTTCCCCATCGCAGCCAGGGGGCCGGGCCGGAGAAGTGGGTGTCTGGGAACACGAGAGCAAGGAGCGAGGGACGCTCCTCTGAAGAATGGCCGCCAGCGCCCGCGTGCCCAGAGCTCACTCCACGACGGAGGGCATCGGGGAGGAAGTGGGGCCTCAGCACGCTGGGGGGCTCGTCACTGTTCGAGGCTGTGGCCGACGCTGACAAGGCAGGAGGAAGCGGGGGGGGTGTCTGGGAGGACGGAGGAAAAGCACAACATTTTAAGACAGTCCGACTGAAACATGAAGGCGTCCGAGAGGAAGGAAGGGGACTGATCACAAGCCGGGGGTTAGACCAGAGCGCCAAGTAATAAAGCGAGAATCCTACTAGATGTACTACAAATGCACCCAAAGTGCAGCCTAAAAACCCATTTGACCTAGTGAGATTTAAGCAAATCATTCTTGTTTGGAACCATTTAATACTGAACACAAAGCAAAAAGTCTTATGTAAAATATTTTATTAGCAGTCGTTACTTCGTAAAGGTACCTAACTTCGTATTCGCACGCTCTGCACCTCCCCATCTTGGGCGTTGGGTCGGACCCTCTTGTCACATTCTGATCTACGCGGCATTTGACGGGAGCCTCGGCGGAATTTGACTACACTCTTAGCCATCTGCACGGCAAGCATGAAGTGAGGGAATCTCTTCCTAGCTTCTGAGAGTCAAGGATGATTGAGAATTTAGAGGTGAAGCCCGTGTGCGTGCGTGTGCACACGTGCGCGCACACGCACACGCACACGCACACACACACACACACACACACACACACACACCAGCCCTCGCTAGCCCTAGCTAGTCCTCGGTACGCTGCATCGGGAAGCCAAGACCAGGCCAGGGCAGAGGAAGGCACCTCTCCACCAGGCAGGAGTCGGCTCAGCCTCCAAGCCAGTAGGGACAAGCCCACGTCGGGCGGGCGATGGTTGGGAGGGGGGCAGGGGGAAGGGGCATGGGCCGCCCTCCCGTCTCAGCTTTCTGTTGGGTGGCAGCAAGTCCCTAATGAATAGCCACTAAGCTAGGATTCTAGTATTGCACTTTATGCTTTACAAAGTATTTCACGTGTATTTGTTCATTGCAAATAGGAGGCAACAGGGCAAAGCAAAAAAAAAAAAAAGAAAAGAAAAGAAAAAGAAAGAAAGAAAGAAAAAAGACCCGGGTCAGACCGCGGCTCAAACTCCCAGTGCGCTCTTTCCTGGCATCGGACCCGCGTCCTCGCCCGCCCCCCTCCCGCCCCCCCCCGACCTTCTGCATCTGCAGAATGAATACACCGCCTCTCCCCACAGCCTGCCGCCCTGGCGGCCAAGCCACATCTGGGTCCCCTCCCCTTGGGCCCCCAGTGCCTGGGACACCGGCACCAAGCACGTGGGGGCACCGGTGACCGTGTTTGCGGAGTGAGGGGATGCACAGAGGGCCCACGCGGCCCCCAGCGCAGTGTCCGGGCCGCCCGGCCAGGGAAAGGCGCTCAGTACACCGCGGCCCGGGCTTCGTGTCCCCTCAGCCAGACAAGAGAAGGTGACTCCAGCTGTCCCTGACGTCCGGGTAGCGCCCTTTCCAAGGCACGACGGTGTTCCCTGGGAACATGGCTTTTCTGTGGGTCTCTAGGATGAGCTTTTCCCCATCCTGAGGGCCCCCTTGCCCAAGGTGACTTCATCAGGCTCCAGCATCTTCTAGTAAAGGGTTTCTTCCCTCCCTGGGGAGGTCTCCACTGCACCCACGCGGGACCCTGGGAAGAGCTGATCCTTCCGGCTGATCCCCAGCGAGATGAGGAGCAAAGGAGGCACCACGGGACCGTGGCGCCCTTGGTGGGCTCCCAGGGGCGGCTGGCGCCAGAGCCCGGGCCCCGCAGCTGTCCGGCAGCGGCAGCGGGGGGTAGGAGCCCCCTTCTCGCCTGACGAGCCAACCTTGAAAGCCATACTCTTTGGACTTATGCTTTTGCCTCTCCTAACAGCAGAGGGGCCACACATCTTTCATGCAAGATTTCATTCTTCCTTCTAAATGAAGAATCACAGAGGCGAAGGGAACATTTGAGGCATTACATTCAGAACTTAGGAGAATGAAATCTGGGAAGCTGGCCTGGATCCAGTTCCACTGTATGACAGGCGGCAGAGGGGCACACACCTCTTAACCACAACGAGTTCCGAGAAACAAGTCAACAGGTTGTTTGGGCGTTAGCTTAGGTCACGGGAACGGGAGGTTATATCTAACTGTCGGGACGTACAAAGAACACGGTTTGCATCACTGCTGCCCAGGGTTTGTGAGGAGAAGGTGCCAGCAGGGACCACCTGCTGACGATGGGGGGGGAGGGACGGCCTCCCAGGACTGACAGCCTCACTCAGGCGCCTGAAGATCTAAGCAAACCCCCTACAATTACTTTGCACATGCATTTCCCTCCAAGCAGCCACCAGATCTGCCCCTTGATGCTTCGTCTATTAAGGGACGAATGTAATTTATTAACAGTGGAAAACTGAAATGCAGGGAGCATGAACGCCTTGGGAAATTATTCCTTCTGAGGATGCAGCTACACTTGGACGCTAGATTTTCTATCTGCAGGAATCTCACTGTTTCCTTATGGAATGGCTGAGACACAGCATGGTGGGCTCTGTGCGCAAGATGGTGTGTGGTGGGGGAAGGGCTCGGCCCTGCAATGCAGCTCCCTCAGGCTCCCCCCCCCCCCCGGCCACCTGTCCTCAGCAGGGTCACAGATCTGCCTCTGGAGGGCTCACCTGGAGGGAAAGAGGTCTTTAAATACTGACTGCACCTGGTCAGTGGTCTGATCAAAGCCATCCCCTCCCCCACCCCACCCCGTCTCTATTTCACCAGGCTGTTCCTATGTGGGACTTTCTACCTGTGACATCTTGTAGGCCAATCTGTCTTGAAATTAAACAAAAGACTTTTTATAGAGCCTAAACGTGATGCTGGTTAAATAACTTTGCCTGGAAGGTGAAGCCACGTTTGCCCAGAACAGTGAAACTCAACGTTACATTGTAACACATCTCAGTTGTGTTTGCTAAAAAGCAGCAAAGAGTGAGCAAGGGGGTCCCTAAGTATTTGCAAATCAAATCCATGTGTGGGTAAATTGCCAACGCTTTCCATTCTCTTCAGGTAGGAACTAGGAGCTCGGGGAACACAGCTGAGGAGGTGTAGACTCTCTTAGAGCTGAAAGATGCCCTGAAGACCACCCGGCGCAATGGTCCACAGACCAGGAGATCCAGGCTCGGACGGGGGATGAGTGAGAGACACTAGGAGACCCCGGCCCCGGGGCAATGAGATTCCAAGGGGGGAGCAGCTCCATTTCCTTTGTCTTCTTCTGACCTCCCCACTGTGGGCACACGGCCCCTGATAGCTGGTGGGCACACGGGCCCCGGTTAGCAAGCCAGAGGTCGTCTCTGGGCTGTGACACGGACACCAGCCCAGCCAGGGCTGAGAAGGTGGAGAAGCCACAGAGACAGGCTGTGGGAGGTGGCACTGCCCGCACCCTGTCCACGGCTCGGCCACACCGCACCGGCCACACAGTCTTCGCCACTTGCTTGCAATCGCCTCGGATGCCCTGGGATCTGGGTGCCCTCGCCCCGCTGCAGGCGGGTCCCCCTCACGGTGGCTCCCCTCACAGACCTCCGAGGCCCCCCCCCAGGGACTTTCCGCAAGCCTGGCACCCCCAGTGCCGCGGAGGTAGTTGACGTGATGCGTGAGGAAACAGACATGTGGGAAACATCAACAAGGCTAATTTCCTAGACATGTTTTTAAGCAAAATTGAGGTGGTGAGAAAGTTAGGAAGAAATAAACAATATGGTTTGCTTAAAATAAGAAGAGCGTGGGGTGCGGGGGGCGCAAAACTGCGGGGGGGAGCCTCGGCCAACCTCACCCTCCAGTTTTCCTCACGACTTTTTGAAATCCTGGGGGCTGAGCGCGTGCAGCTCCAGAGCCTTCCATCTGCTGGCACCGCGTGTCCGTCTGGTGCAGCCGCCCGTGAAGTTCAACCCCTCGTCTCTCGAAGCCAAGCGGGTTATGTACCCTGAATCGTGTTCTTCGACGTAAAAAGATACAGTTTCTTCAACTGAACGAGACTCAGCGGCTTTTGGCTTGGAAGGTGACCTCTCCGTGGAGGAGGCGGCCGGAGGGAGGGCGACAGCGACGGTCACGAGGCCGGCCCTCCCCCGCGGCCCGCCCGCCCTCGGCACCTTCTTCCCCGGCGGGGCCAGAGAGGGGGACGGAGAGACGAGCCGGCCCGGCCGCCGGGGCTGGGGGGCAGGGGCCCTGTGTCCGCGGGCGCCGCCCGCCGCCGCGATCCCACAAGTCCTCCTGGGCCGCGGTGCCCGCTGCGCCCTCTGCCAGCACGCAGGTGCTTTACCTCTCCGCTCGGATTTTGTATCTCAGGACGAAGTAGGCGATGAGGCGCAGGGAGATGAAGAAAACCCCCAGCACGATGAAGTCCAGGTAGAGCGTGGCACCTTCCACGTCCAGCTCCCGCAGGATGGCCTCCGACTTCTGGAAGTGGCACGTCTCGTCGATGCCACAGTGCAGGTCCTCCCGGTCCAGGCCGTAGATGGAGAGGATGACCCCTTCGAACCCGTACCTGCGAGGAGGGCGCGCAGCGTGAGCACCGCTCTGCCCGCGGCCAGCCCTGGTCCGCGGCGCGGCCCCCTCCCTTCCCCAGCCCCGCACTCATGGAAATGATTCCCAACCTGCAACATCTTCCCAGGACAAATGCGCCCAACAGCTAAGGCTTTTCTGATTTTTGTTTCTCCCTGGGCCTCTACCCAGAACACCAAACCGAGTGTGTAGTAGGTGTTGGTTCAGGGGGGAAAATGAACTGGCAAGCTCTTTGATCAGGGCGCCTGGGGGGCTCGGTCGGTTGAGCGTCTGACTCTTGATTTTGGCTCAGGTCATGACCTCACAGTTCGTGGGATGGAGCCGGGTGTTGGGCTCTGCGCTGACAGTGCGGAGCATGCTTGGGATTCTCTCCACCTCTCCCCTGCTCCTGTTCTCTCTCTCTCTCTCTCAGAATAAATAAACATTTTTTAAAGAGCTTTTTGATCACCTCTGATATTACATACTTTTTTTTAACAGTTAAACAGAATAAAGGATCTCATCACCTTTGAAGGACTACAGCACATTTAAATAAAACCCTTCTGGAGGCGTCTGGGTGGCTTAGTCAGTTAAGTGTCCGACTTTCGCTTAGGTCATGATCTCACGGTTCATGGGTTTGAGCCCCGCATCGGGCTCTGTGCTGACTGCCAGCTCAGAGCCTGGAGCCTGTTTCAGTCTGTGACTCCCTCTCTCTCTGACCCTCCCCTGCTCATGCTGTCTCTCTCTCTCTCTCTCTCCTAGAAATAAATAAAACATTAAAAAAATAATAAATAAATAAATAAATAAATAAATAAAACCCTTCTGTCTCATGTCTCCTTATGTCCCAGCGCCAGAATAGAAACACCGATTTTAGGAAGAAAGATGTGGGTTTCTGATTTCTTGGGGCTGGAACGCACACCGATCGCTGAAACTCTGTATGAGAGCTTTGTTTTGATTCTGTTTTCCTGAACAATGCATGTGGGTCTGAACTGACATTCTAGAAAGGCTGGGTCCCAGCTTCGGGTCTTGTGTGTCATGTGGAGTCGCTCCAGCAGCCAGGGGGCACGTTGCCCCATGAGGCCAGCGTGCCAGGAGCCCCGAGCAGAGAGGATGAGGTCCCAGCGCCGCAGTGCGCGGGGGACCCGGTCACTCTTGGTCAGAGATAGTAGGATGTTTAAAACGTGACTTGGTATCTACTGGGTTTTACAGAGTCGGAGCCCTGTTACGAGCGCTGTTCATTCCCGAGAGGAGCAAGGTTCTTAAAATGCAAACGCTCTGCCCCAGCAGCTCGCCAAAACGCGCAGAATTCGGGGTCCGCTGCGGCTTCTCCAAGGCACGCACTGCTGGTGTTTATCTTATCCCTGCATGTGCGCGCGTGTGTGTGCGTGTGTGCGCGTGTGAGTGTGTGTTGGTGACAAGGAGGACACGTGAGACCCAGGGAAGACGTGAACGGCACCCACAGCCTTGGATCCATGACGCCAGCACCCGGCTGGCCTGTAGCTGATGGCTGCGAAGAGGCTTTTGGCCCCTCCGTGAGCTCACACGGGGCTCTGGGGCAGGAAAGACGCCACACACGCTACCTGACGTAGGAGATGTACGACATCCACTGCAGGTAAGTCGGGATCGTGTCGAAGCTGACGAAGAACCCAGAGAAGAGGAGGACTGGGATGGCCGTCACGGGTCCCACAAAGGTGGCCACCTGGCGGGACACAGGGAGCAAGTGCTCAGGGGCAGCAGCTGAGGTCCTGCCCGATTTCCTCAAGTGTCCCCAGGGGCCCATATGCCACGCGTCTGGAGGGTCACCGGCAGCTGGGGAAGGGCCAGGGCGTCGGGCTGGGGCCCAGGAGGCCACGAAGCCCCCGCCCGCCCTCCGCCAGCAGCCGGTCTCCACGCAGGGAGGGGCTGGAGGTCGTGCCGGGAGATCAGCGGGCCCCAGCCGAGGGGACGGGAGGCTGAGAGCCTGCCGCGGGGCGGTATCGGGGGCCGCAGCGAGTGGCCGTGAGGCAGCAGGTACCGGGTCTGCAGGACTGGACGGCCGGGTGCTGCCGCTGTGTCCGGGGCAGGAAGGGCCGTGAGCACCGCCCCCTGGGCACTCGCCACAGCTTGGGGGGCCGAGCACTTTCCACGGCCACATCCCGTGGATGCCATCGCCATTCCTATCCATGGAGGGGGGCCACCCTAGAGACCGAGCAGTCCCTGGCAGTGGGGTCTGAAGATGGAGACGGGGGTCCTTCACACCCAGTGGCAGGTGGGGGTGTGGGGTGTCCGCGAGTCACCAGCGTTGTGGCTTTGCTTTGGGCGACAGAACTAGCCTGGGCAGCCTGAAGCCACAGACATGCGGAAAGTGCAAAAGCAGGTGGGGCTGGAGGGTTGGAGGGCAGGGCGGCGCTAGGTCTGTGAAGGGTGCGTGAAGCCCCAGAGGGCATGTGGGCAGGATAGGGGCATAGTCTGCAGCTGGGGGGGCCACAGGGCAGAGGAGTGGATCCCCCAGAGGCTGCAAACCATAGGTCTCTGAGCCAGTGGCATGGCCCTGACCCCACCATACTGCCTCTCTGGGCCTCAGTCTCCACACCTGTGAAATGGGGACAGCGTCACCCCCAGCGTGTGGGTGTGTGTGGGGCTCCGTGCACCTTTATGCAGAAAGCACTAGAAACAGCACCTGGCACGCAGCAAGTGTCACCTAAGGGCACCTGCTGCTGTCAGCGTGGCAACCCTGACCGACCACGAGAGTGTGATTCCTCCCCCTCGTGAAGCCAATCCAGGCAGCCGAGGTAGAATCAGGAGGAAGGGGCTGGGGCGGGGGAGGGCAGCCTCCCTGGCTACACTGGCCCAGGCGGCGAAGGGAGGCCCCCCACGGGGTGTTTCCTCCACGGATGCCTACCTGCAGGGACGTGGATGCCGCCCCGATCAGCAGACCCAGGGACTGGGCCACCAGAGAGGTCATGGTGCCCAGCGCGGCAAAGAGGACGAACCTCACGGCGTCGGACGGCTGTGATGTCATCCAGTATACGATACTGCAGTAGGCCACGGGGAACATGATCTGGAAGCACAGGGTCCGTCACCCTCCTGCGATGCGGCCTCCCCCCGCCCCCCACTACGGGCAGCGACGGAGAGCCCTCGCCCCTCTTCCAATCGTGCCCCTGCGCCAACACACCTGGAAGGGGACGTCGGCCATGGTCTTGGCCAGGTAGTAGGCCTTCAGGCTGTACCAGTAGTTCAGGTGCTCCCGAAGAAACACCCCCATCTCCAGGGGGACTAGGGGACAGAAGGACGGGAAAGGGTCAGGCGGACATGGCCGGCAAGCCGGAGGTTCGCCCAGGCGACCTCCCGCCGAGCTGGAAGCCACCACGTGGGCCTGTGCGCCTGCGGCGCTCAGAGGCTGAGCGAAAACCTATGAAATGATTTACCAGCCTGGAAAAACTGCCAAGCGTCTGTATAAGCCGAAGAGCCACCGAGTGGAAAATCAAAGAGCGGAGGACATCTTGGATACTGAGCATCACTTTGGTGATGTGCTCAAGTATTTACGGCTAACCTCACCACTGACCGGTGTGGTTCCTTCCATGGGCAAGGGCCCAGCTGGTCCTGGGGACTCAGGGCCACTCAGGGCAGGGGGGGGGCTGTTATGCGGGAGTTCACTGTCAGCCCGAAGTGAGCAAGGGCAGTGCGCTCTGCAAACGATCTGGAACTACACAGAGATCCATCCAGAATAGCTTCATCCACTCCCAAACTTGGCCACAGCGGGCTCTCTTAATAAGTAAATGAGGGGGGCTGCCTGGGGGACTCAGTCCATTAAGCATCCGACTTCGGCTCAGGTCATGAGTTGGAGCCTCACGTCGGGCTCTGTGCTGACAGCTCAGAGCCTAAAGCCTGTTTCAGGCTGTGTCTCCCTCTCTCTCTTCTTCTTACCCACTCACACTCTGTCTTTCTCTCAAAAATAAACATTAAAAATTTTAAAAAATAATATGTGAACGAGGTCATGCTAAAGCAGTAAAATGTGAGGGATTCCTGATTAGAACACCTTTCAGAAACCCCCCGTCAGCCTTCCACCATGCTCACACATTTGTCATTAGTGATTAATTCCTTTGGTTTAAACCTGGTATGTATTTTCTTGTCTAAGAGAAAACACGATAGTACCTGTCAACCAAGAAAATGGTACTTTGAAAACCCGAGATGTTACGGGTCAGGAAAGTCATCCGTGGGCCGAGCCCTGGTCTCAGCGCCCTGTGGGTGGGTGGGTGTAGCGTCAGGCACTCACACGTGAGAACGGTGGGCATCAGGGCCGCGAACATGAGGAACAGCATGGAGAAGAAGAGGAAGCCGGAGTTGCTCAGGACCTTCTTGGCTTCGTTCCCGATGCCCAGGTACAGCAGGCCGATGAGGAGGCCGATTCCGATGTGCGACGTGACCCGCAGGTGCGTCAGGACCTGGGGGCGGACACGACACTCAGCGGCCTGCGAGTGCGTTGGGCAAAGGCGAGGGCGCCAAGGCTTTTGGGGGCACCGGCCCCACTCTCTCTTCCAGGAAAACAAGCCCGAACCCTAGGCCAACTCGCACACGCTCACACGCTCACACACAGAACTTTATGCTGTGAAAACAGTAGCAATTGTCCTGCCTGAATCACCTTCGCAAAGGACACAAAGGTCAGGGAGGATGAGTCAACAGTGCTGGGGCGGGGGGGGGGGGGGGGGGGGGGGGGGGCGAAGAATGGATACATCTGAGGCCCCTCCTCGGAGCGTACCGGCCGGGCGGCCACCAGCCCTCCAACTTTCAAAGTAGACCCCAGAGGCCCTACTGGGCGCTCAGCCGCCCTCGGCAGGTAGCCGTCAGCTTGTCCACTGGACTCACCACCGCCCGCCTGACGGGCCCTGTACACTGCGGGCACCTGTGTCCCCAGGGACTCCTTGAGGGAGGAGCACTCCCACTTGGGCCTGGCCAGTGGGGTGCACGTACGGGAGATGGTCTGCCGCCCCCAGCGGGAAGCTTACAGGCCACCTGTATTTCTCTCTCACGCTTGCCCTTTGCTGTGTCCCAGAAAAGGAGCCGTTTGTCCACTCTGGGCCCCAGGATGAGACACATGGGGCGGGGCCACAAGTCACAGCCGCCAACACACGACACGAGCGAGACACACGTGCTTCCTGTTGCAGCCACTGGCATTTGGGGACTGTTTGTCACAGCAGCGTCGTGGAGGGGAAGCTGACTGATGCAAATGCAGGGAAAGCGGTCTGAAAGCCCGATCAGGACGAATAAAGCGGAAAACGGCCGGACACACAGCCTCCTCTGCCACGAGGCGATATTTGCAAACAGCCTTACCGAATCCCTCATGATGCTGAGGAAGGTCCTTTTGAAGAGGATGCAGAACTGGGTGAGGCAGCTGGCCGAGAAGCTGTGACAGCCTTCCATGGAGGTGGAGTCCTGGGGACACGCGCAGAAGGGGGAGGAGGGGTGAGCCGCCAGCCCGGACGCACCGCCCCCCGGCTCGGAGCCCCCATGCAGCGGCGTGCAAGGGGCAACATGCAGCCGTCCCGCAGGGGGGCCGGGGGTGTGCATTACCTTTCTCAACCCCTTTAAGCGTTTTGCCTGCTTTACCTCTTCAGAGGGCCGGTGCCAAAGAAAAGGGTTCACCTCGGCATCCCCCCCGGGCTCTTTCCTGTGGTCAGGGTCACACATGCCCTCCCGGACGGCTCTCACCAGGCGGCTGTTCTGGTCACCGTATTCACCGGACGCTACCTCCATGACTGTAGGAGACACAGGCGGGTCAGACCCAGGCCCCAGAGAGGTGCCCCCAGGTCGCTCCCATGAACCTAGGCCTTGCTCATTTTACAACAACACAACCATGAACCTCGCAGGGATATTTTTAACCGATTATACGGATGCTGCGTCACATGATGAAATCATTTCTCAGCCAGTGTTTTTTCAGCCCTAAGCTCCCTCCCCCCACCCAGCAAGGCCATTTATCATGTCAGGATCCTAGAAATGCAAGTTCAGGTGGTGGTGCCAGGGAGTCTGAGAGGTCATTAGCTCATGCATCTATTAACTTATCCACCCGCTGATGTTAATCGAGTGCCTGCTTCGGGAGCCAGGAGAGGAGCAGAGGGGGCTTGGCTGTCCCTATGGGCTTAGGCGCAAGTGATTCTTCAGGACCATGGAGAAGGGCCCGGAGCCACCCCGCTGCGTGGGACCGTCAGCCCCACCTCTCTATCCCCAGAAAGAGTGTCAGACGCCGTCTCTGTCTCCCTCGGGCCTCTCCTTGGCCCTTGGTTCCACACCCCACACCCACCGCTGCTCCTTCCTGCTCTCCATCTGAGGTCTTTGTGCGTCCTTCTCACGGCCCCACCTCTCACTAACATCCTTGCTGAGCCCCAAAGTCCCCGGCCTTGATTTTTTAGCCCTGTCCTCTGGCAAAACCAGGTGTCAGCTTTTCCTGAGCCTGAACCCCTAAACCTGGGCAGCCAAGCCCTCTCAGATCCCGTCATAAACCAGGACATGATGCCTGGAGACTGGAGGGACACAGCCACAAGCCCAGGAACGCGGGAGCCACCAGGAGCAGGAAGGACCCGCCCCTGGAACTTTCAGGGGCAACACGGCCCTACCCACACCTCGACTTCTGGCCCCCAGAACCACTAGAGAATGAATTTCTGCTGTTTTCGGCCACTCGGTGTGTGGCTCAGCAGTCATGGGAAGGCAGGAGGTGCCGGCAAAGATTGGACCCTAGCACCGGGGCAGAGGTGGGGGAACAGGACTGAGTCAGGGGTCTCCAGCACTTGGGGGTCTCGTAAACATGAAGCTGGAGAGAAAGAGAAGGCGACAGGGGTGCCAGCGACTGGAGGTGGAGGAAGACACTTGGTTTTGGAGACATGGCCTGGAGAGGCTGTTGGGTTTGCTGACAGCCGTGCGGGGAGACATGATGTGGAGGAGACCCAGTGAGGGGACAGTGATGGCTGGCAGTGGTCAGTGCCCTGGAGGGCGTGGGCCAAGGGGGGAGGCCAGGGGAGGCACCTCGGAGCACCGCCAGCATGAAGGTGTGGGCCCCCACGTCTCAAGGCGTGCCCAGCGCCCAGCCCCAGGACTGCCGACTCAGGAGGGTCTCAGACCATCAACACGGTCTCTGGACTCTGAGCGTCGCCTTTTTTGTGATGTTTGGTCAAAATTTAAAACAGCATTTTAACAATTCAGTGAATCGATGCAGAAGGTCCCTTTTTTTTTTAAAGGTTATTTCTTTTCAGAAATGACTTCCTTTAAATCAGAAGCCCAATACACCCAGCATTAGGAAAGTCTGCTCCCAATAGCTCCCTTGTTCTAGTTCCCAGCTATCTGATCTGGAGGAAAGAAAACCTCTTATCTGTTCTTAATAACTCCACCACAGGGTGGCCTTTGAACCATGTCAAGGAATTCCAAATGTGGGGGCTTCAGGTAGAAGTTGAAACCCACTGAAAGCAAAGAAAAGCCTTTTTTTTTCCCCTCCGGATGGTCAAGGCTCTACTTACCAAAATCAGCGGGGTTGTGGTACGTGGGGCAATTCAGACCCAACTCCCTCAGGTATGGTACAAGATTTGAGACTTTCCCCCGGTACACACATTGTCCTTGACTAAGGACATAAAGCTGGAAAAAAGTAAGGAGAAGGAGAACACCAACCTTGTCTTCCGTTGTAAAGCAACAAGAGCTGTCAATCCATCCACCCCTCCATCCACCCACCTACCCATCCATCCACTCAACCATTTATCCACTCATCCATCCATCCACCCACCCACCTATCTGTCCACCACTCATTCAACCTTTCATCCATCCATCCTTCCATCCATCCACCTGTCATCCATCCAACATCCATCCATCCACTGATCCACCCATCCACCCACCACCTATTCAACCTATTCACCTATCCATGTATTCATCCTACATCCATCCACCCATCCATCAATCAATTTCTCTTGCATTCAGAAGAGCTATACAGTCCCTCCCCCAAATTGCTAAAGTTCAAAGGGAACTTTAAGTCAGGGAAGGTATCATGTGGACAGGCATTACTTTATTATATTGCTTCTTGCCCTCTCACACTAACTGCCTGCTAAGAAAGATTTTGAAATTACACACATTTCATCCCTGGGTCTTTTCCCCCCCTCATTTTAATATCAAAACCTAAGATTTATAAAAGAGATGATGTTGTACACATATGATAACCTGCCATTTAATTCTGTAAAGCAGGTGTTCCCCATCTTTACATGGGTGGGGGTGGACAATGAAGCCTCAGTAATGTTAGTGACTTGCCCAAGATCCCTTGGCCAGATATCAGCCGGAGAGAGGGAACACTGGCCAGCTCTTTTGACCCTTTCCTGCCCTGCTACCTTAGCTGCCGATGACTCGAAAGTCGTAGGAAAAACCACACTTAAGGCCACTCAGATTGAGTGACACCTCCAGGAACCAACAGCAGCAGAATCCCCGGGATCTGGTTTCACTTGGGCTATCATCAAGTGGCCTGCACACCTGGTCAAAGAGCTCGAAGAGCTTGGCGCTGGGCTGGTGGACGGTGCAGATGATGGACCTCCCTCCTTGGGCCAGCCCTTTCATCAGGGAGACCACCTGGAAGCAAGAGGCGCTGTCCAGGCCGCTGCAAGGCAAGGGGCACCGTGAGATGCCTGTGGGACCCCAAACCATTCCCCATATTCCGCGCACCTTGGGGAGGCCTGTGCTGTCGTGTCTTCTAGAGGCAGATGGGGAGAGGGAGGGAAGTCAGGCCTCCCCTCGGGGACCCCAGGGATAGGAGAAAAGGACTGGCAGGCAGCGCACATGCCTCCCCCCTTCTGAGGCTGCCCCAGGGGCGCCCTGGAAACACTGCTCATGGGGAGGGCAGGGCTCTCCCCTCCGTGGCTCTGACTACCTGGTGGGCTCATCGAAGAACATGACGGGAGGGTTGTTCACCAGCTCCAGCGCGATGGCCAGGCGCTTCCGCTGGCCACCCGAGAGGCTTCCGGTCCTCGTGTTGGCACAGGAGAGCAAGCCCAGAGCCGTCAGGATCTCCTTGACCTGGGGAAGCAACGGGCCAGCGTGCCCATCAGGGACCGCCCGCCACACCTCACCACCTACAGGGCCCGCGCGGAAACACCTGCCGCCTCCCGCATCCCACTCATGGACACACGTGGACGGGACGGCAGAGCGGGGCTCAGCGCCCAGTGGACAGGTGAGGCTCCACGTCCGAGGTCCCGATGTGGGCCCGGGAGGCTGGGAAGCAGTGCTGGAGCCTGGCCCGCCTGGGGCGGGGTCCCCGATCTGCCTCCTGCAGGGGTGACCTTACAGGCCCCTTGAAGCCTCGCTCAGGGCCCGGGCAGGGAAGGTGCTCAATCACCGTGTGTAGATGGGGTAGATGGGCAGACGCACAGGCAGAGGATGATGGGGTTTCTGACTAGCACAAAGAGGGGAGGGCCATCATGGTGGTTAAATGAGACAAGGATGAAAACACCTGGCACAGAGCCTGACACACAGGAAGCATTTAATCAACAGCGGCTGCCAATGACACCAGTCCTAGTGCCTGAGGCTCCTGTAGACGCGCGCCCCGCAGGCCAGGTCTCTTGGGAGGAAGGAAAGCGGCCCCTTCGGCACTTGTCAATAGAAGAATCAGGAATCTGACATGCCAGCAAGGCCAGGGAACCGCTTAAAGCCATCACCACCTTCCACGGTGGCCCCGCCGACACCGGCTCCAGGAAGCAGGCTGGGTACCAGGTATAAACAGCCCACTGTGACTAAGCCTCCCTGTCTGCTCTGGATGATCGACCCAGTAGCGGCTCAGGGAACAGAGCATCAGCAGGCTTGAGTGCAGTGACTCCCTAGAGGCAGCCCTGGGAAAGTGTGGTCCATTTCCACTGTCCCGCATCCACACCAGGCTCACCGCCCAGGGCCAGCCCTCCTGTCAGGACACACCCGCCCACCATCCATGGTGGCAGAAGCGGGTGGCCCCCAGTCCAGTGGCTTCTCTGGGGAGATGAGGTCATCCCAAAGGAGAAGGAACTCCCGGAGAAGAAAATTTTCACCCCGGCTCTTGAATTCCTGATGCACAGTCAGTGCAGAAGGCAAGGCTGGGGAGGTGGCAAGAGCTAGGGCACCCCTGCTGCACAGCCTGGGAGGCAGTGGGGTCAGAGGGACCTGGGTCTGGATGTCACCAGCCTCTTCCCTCGCTGGTCCGTAAAACCCAACCCATGGCCTTTCTACAACACACTGTATTTAAGGAATCCCAACCTGGAAAGAAGGTCAGCAAGATTGTCTGGGAAGGGCCATGAAAGGGGGGGCCTTGGAGGGGGGCCTGGCCCACATTCCTTCCCCTGCAGACAGCATCTGTTGGCTTTCCCAGAGCCACCAAGCTCGTGCTGTCTTCCAGAACCACAGAATGAAGAGTCATTCTGGTTGTTCCAGGCTCGCCTTTGGGGTCCTGCCCCAGCACGGAGCATCCCTCTCCTGTCCACAATCTGTCCTCTCGGGGCTCCCTCCTCGGGGTCGGGCATGGCCCCACTCCGCGTACCTCTGGCCCCACAGACAGGATGCAGGGGTTGGAGGCAAATGTCAGTGCCTGCCCTTCTCCTGCCCATCCAGCCTGCTTCTGGCGTTCTCTCAAGAGTGATGCTCTGCTGGGTGGTTTTGTTCTAAACCTAGTCAGAAAGAGCAGTGTCCCGGACCTGGGAGACCTTGGTCCTGAGGGAGCCCCTTGCTGGGGACCCTCAAGGGCTGAGGATGCTTTTCTGGGAACCAAGGAAGGCTGCAGACAACACATTCCATTACTTACTAGTACATTCCATTCTAGGGGCGCCTGGGTGGCTCAGTGGGTTAAGCATCTGATCTTGTAGTTCATGAGTTTGAGCCCTGAGTCGGACTATATGCTGACAACTAGGAACCTGGAGCTGCTTCAGATTCTGTGTCTCCCTCTCTCTCTGCCCCTCCCCCGCTCATACTCTGTCTCTCTCTCTCAAAAAATAAATAAACACTAAAAATTTTTACAAAATAGAACATTCCAATCTATTGTGTTTCCACAAGACACAAACAACTGTAATGTAAGCTGGGGGGAAATGAATCACAGCAGGCACTCTCTGCTGTTTCATCCTGGAAATAACCACCCAATCCGGCAGATACATTCTTGGGGGAGGTGGGACCGACACTTGGCAGAAGACCAGAATGGAGGCTTCTGGTGAGAAACGTGTGTGGGACCCAAGACCACCCCTAGGCCCTCCAGGGATGGCTCGCAGCCTTGCTCAGTCAGCAGCAGACGAATCTGAAGATGGGGCAAGGCTCTTGCTCCCTCGGGATGATTTAGCCACACAGTTGTCAGGTAAACCCAGCTGAGAACAGCATGAGGCTCTGGTCTGGTCCGTGGCTTAGGTCAGGTGTATGGAGGACAGGGTGTGGCCCACCTGGGAGACACCTCTCCCCACCAGGAAGGCCTCCCCAAAGACCCTGATCAGCTCCCTGATGGGCGCTGGAAGCTGGCTTCTGAAGGCCATGACTTAACAGACACGGCTGGCTCAGGAAGCAAAAGGGCTTGTGTGTGTCGATACAGAATGTCAGCTGAGAAGCACGCATTGCCCTCCCGGTCCACCAGCAAAAGCTACATTCCTGTTCCCTTTCCCCACGGAGAGGATGGTCCAGGTGGGTCATGCGATGGGAAAATCACCCTGTGTCTGCTCTGTGGAGCCACGAGCTAAGTCAGCTTCATGCTGCCCCGGAAGACCGGTGCGGCCGTGGCCTCCGGCCCTCGTCTGGACAGACGAAGGTCCAGACTGCTGGGGACAGTGACCCAAGGTTATCCAGCGGATCCAAGGAGGCCAGAGCTAAAGGGGCCCCCTGTGGACCTGGCTCCATCTCACAGCAGGACCGTTTCTATGTTAGCAAAGACCCTCGACCTCCCTTGCCCGCTCACCACCGTACTGTATAGTCCTGAGTGGAGCTATAAGCTGGTCCTCCCTTGCTCTGAGGGGCCTTCCCTCCACAGCTTTCCCCGGCGGGTCCGAGGTGGCTGCTCATTTCTGGAAGACCTTCCGCGTTCAGCACCAACGACCCAGCCCACCCCTCCCACCTTCCGAAAGGGGGTCCCTGGACTCCAGTAATCCATTTCCTTCCTTTGGACCTCAGAATAAAAGAACTCCGCAGGGAGCATCCTGACAGCCACAGGGGCCTTTGCTCTGCTCCCACCTGCTCTGTGTGGCTGACCCTGAGGGATCTGAAGGGTGCCCGCCGCCCGGGGGCACAGGGGAGACGAGGCGCCCCAGTGACACCCAGTATTGTTTTCACAGCACCCTTACGGAATATTAACTAGTATGTGCCATGGGAGACGGAGCAGACATGGGAAACAGAACTGGGGTTAATGTTTCTTAACTACGCTCTGCTCATCACTCCAGATTACAGCCAACGTGAGGCGCTGGCCAGCACCGCTGGTGCTGAAACTATGAGTCCTACTCTGTGCAGCCGGACTGTGGTCTTCCGAGTGTGTTGGAAGACAAGACAGCACTGCAGGGGTGGGATTCCGCCCAATTTTACTCTTCCACTGAAATCCCACTAGTGCCAGGCTGGCCGTGGAGCGGAGGAAAGTTGAGTTTCCCCCAGGTGATGTGTAAACATAAACCGGCCACACCCTCCACCGAGCAGGGCTTGCCGGCTCCCCGGGGGGTGCTGACCCAGCACCCTCCTTGTGTCCTGGGCTTTAGAGAAGCAAGGAGAATGGGGAATGAAAAGGATTCAAAGGTCTCCAGCATCCTGGAAACTTACTTATTTGATTTTTTTTAAGGCTGCTTAATGACATGTAAGAACCAAATTTCTTCTTGTGAGTGTGTGTGGGTAGAGAGGCTGGTTATTTTTAAGAGAATGACTAACCATCTTCATTGTTAGTGTTTTATTAAAGAAAACAACAGTGGAGTATAAAGCACACTAAACACTAAAAAGGGGCAGAGTGTTTGGTCTAACGTTGAGGCCAGTGTTCTCTGACCACCTAAGCCTTCCTGCTGTATCCTTGCTGTTTGGTGGCTGCGCCGAGAGCTTAGGTCTTGTGGCAAGGCGGCCACTCCTGGGTCCGGGCCACCAGCCCAGGACACACACTGAGATGTCACCGTCCCCCACACCAGGGCCTTCCCACACCTCTGCCAAGGGGATTTCACACACTTTCTGGACCACCTGTGGCCCATGCCCACACTTACCATCTCCCTCCTGCCTTCATCCTTCTCCTGGAGCTTCAGATGTGCGGACACCTGCAGTGCGGGGAATCGGAACAGACGGCAGTCAGCAGGGCAAACTCACTCACCACACCCACTGTGGGCTGGAGCCTGACCAGCCGTGCTGTCAGATGATGGGGGGAGACCCCCAGAGCTCTTGGCTTCCTACCCAACTTGGCTGAGCAAAGGCAGGGTCCCAGAGAGCAGCAAACGTGTGGGATGCCTCCTGTCCTCTCAGATGGCTCCTCTGCCACGCCCACAAGAGAAGGTGGGTTCGGGCAGCTGATAGATAAGGAAATCCCAGGCATCTGGGGCTTGAAGACCAGGCCACCTGTTAAACCACTGGAGAGCTTAACATTATCCACAGTGGGAGTGTTTACACCACAGAAGTTGGCAAGGACTAAATATAAGGACTCCCGAGTCACTGTTTTGTTTTGTTTTGTCTGAGATCCGGTTTGCCGCACACATCGCTGCTGGGTAAGACTGAGTAGCGATCCGCATCCAGTGTCGGCCCCGGTTCTGCCCTGCCGAGTTCCTGGGCCGCCCTGGGAGACAAGGAGCCTTTGCATCCTCAGGGCACACCTCCCACCCAGGGAACCAGGGGAGAGGCCAGGCCTGGGTGGCTCGCGGGGCCAGCCGCCTACCAGGTGACATCGAGTATCACCTGGAGGTCTGCCTGGTGGTGGTGAGGCTCAGAAGCAGCATGTGGAAAGGCACAGCTGTTGTGACACATGCCTGGGACTGGGTGTGGGTGGCCGGTGTCCTCCCACCCCTGTGACCTTCCGAAGTAAAAGGCATGACTTCCACAAGAAAGAGGTGATTTTCAAGGCATCATAAAATTCTCAAGATCAAAATCTAATTTAATTTCATTCTGAAAATGGATTTCACAGCACAGCCTGGTGACAGATTGGTGACAGTCACCAATCCTGTCTGTAAAACAAAGCTATGATTGAGCTGGAAATCGAAGTGAAGCTTCTCAGTTGGGTAACCAAGTGTTTATAGCTCAGTAACTCACCAAGATGCTAATCTCTGGTCTCCCAGGAGAAAGGCGAAATAGCAATTCAGAATTCAACTAAGTGTGAATTTTCTAAATCAACTGTTCTATTTGTAACCTCTCCTGAGTTCCCTGTGCCCCATCAGAATGGCCACATGGAGGCGGGAGAAGCTGTTAGGGGCACTGAGCACGTGCCTGCCGGCGAGGCCCAGCCTGGTGGAGGGGTCTCTTCTTCTAGAATGTTCAGCACCAGGGACATGAATGAAGACGACCCGCAGAGCAGGTCGGGGGCATGTTGCATATCCGACATCTTATCCTGCTTCACTTTGCTGATCTAAGAAGCCCTTGGAGCTGCCCTTCAGATAAAATGCCAGGCGGCTGCTCTCCAACCCTGCAGAGAGGTAGCTTTGCCCTGTCCAAGCCAGGAGCCCGGGGCAAGAGCTCTCTGGGCAGGAAAGTGAAGGTAAACGCCCGAGAACATTCCCTGCTGTGCCAGCAGGGGCCTGGAGGCCGCCCACCATCTGTTGCAGCGGGTGAGGCCAAGGCAGAAAAGCTGGCAGCCCCACGCACTAAATGTCCAGGCCGCTCCAGACCCCATCGTGCAGGCACCCTGGACTCACTGCCTAACTCTGGGAGGTGCCCCTTATATTGGGTGACTGTGCAGGGCCTGGCATGCAGTGGACGCACAGCAATTGCTGGTTTCACTCCCCCCCCACCGATCCCGGCCAGCAGGGGGGCCAAGGACAAGACCCTCAGGGCCCTAACGCAGGCACCAGATGGAGGAACTTGGGCCCAGAGCTACAAACAACTAAGGGCAGCTGACGGCCCACAGGCAGTAGGATTGTGGCCACCTCCCGGTGGTCACCCACAGCAGGTGGATCAAAATAACCTTAGGAACTCGACCATGATTTTGCCCCCCAGAAAAGTGCTTGTATGAGAAGCCAGGGTCTTGGGAATTTGTTTTCAGTGAAGCTGTCCAAACAGCATGCCTGGATTGAGAGCCGCGCTGGAGGGAGGTGGCCTGCACAGCCCCTGGCCCCAAGCCAGGCACTGCTCTGACGGAGGGGAGGGAGGGCGGCCCGTGCAGGTGGGCAGCCCACCATCATGGCTTCCTGCATGGAGGGGGAGGGGGGAGGGTGGCCCCAGTGTAGGTGGGCAGCCCACCATCATGGCTTCCTGCATTGGAGGGGGAGGGGTGGGAGGGAGGCCCGCACAGGTGAGCAGCTCACCATCATGGCCTCCTGCAGGGGCGGGGGTGGGAGGGGGTGGGAGGTAGGGGGTGGGGAGTGAGGTTGGCCCACACAGGTGAGTGGCTCACCATCATGGCTTCCTGCACGGTGAGGTGTGGCAGCAGCATGTCGTCCTGCATGATGTAACAGGACACCTTCCGGAAGCAGCGCAGATCCCGGGGCAGGCCGTTAATGAGGACGACCCCCTTCATGCCAGTCTCCCTGCAGAGTGGAGAGCGGACACTGTCAGCTCCCCCTCCAGGGCCCTGGGGAGGGAGGGGGGCCCTTCCCACATCTTCCCGCCGAACCATGGACCAAAGAGACACCAAGCGGCAGGAGGGGATGGGGCCCCAGAGCAGCACCAGGACTCGCAGGAAGGAGCTGCGTGGAGCCCATGCTCAGGATGGACCATAAGGTATGGAATCTGTAAGTAACCAGTGCTTATGAACAAAGATGCACGTGGGTGCTCCCACACGCAGACACCAGGGGCACGTGCACCCCCTACCCCCCCCCCACCGCTGTGCTGGGGTTCCTGAGATTGGCTTCTGCGTGATCTTGGGAGTGGCCAAGACTACACCAAAGGACAAGACTCTGAGGCTGGGGGTGTAACCACTACGTCAGAGCCAGTTCCCAAGGGCCGAGACGGAGTAGGCTCCCTGCGCACAGGTGGCTCAGAGGAGGGGTCTCAGCCCTGCATCCATTCGGCCACGTAGATTGTCCCCTGACCCAGTGACAGGTCAGAGCATGGCATGCACACCCCAGAGGCCTGAGGGGCACGGCCTCCCCCTCCCATCTGCACTGGCCCAGGGAGGCGTGATTGGGGGGTGCTGGCCTCCCCCCAAAGACCTACTTCCTGGATGTCTCTAAGCACAGAAACCCTGCAGGACTGTGGGGACCAGTGAAATTACGGCTGGTTTCCAGCCCCATCCCGGCCCGGCCATGACTGTGACCTTAGGCTTTTTCCTCCAGGCAATGAGCAGCCTCCTCCAGACAGGCTGCCCGAGTACCCCCAGGCCAGGCAGCAGCTGTGGGGGTGGGGTGCTGACAGTGGCTGCCCCCACGCTCCCCCGCCCCCACCCAAGCACCCCCTCGATACTGGGTGTTGACTCCAACCTTTAGATGTGAATGCAACAGGCAGGAATTTGTCATAAGTGAGGTTTTAAAAAATCCTAATTTCGGGCTTTAAGGAGCAATGCCGAGGCCCCAAGGAGAGGGGTGATCGTTATCTTTTTTGTCCAGGGGATGAAATTCTCCCGAGTATTAGCAGTACTTGCTAAAGTTAGCAAATGCCAGCCTGAGAGGTGAAGGCAGCCGGCTTTAGGAGGAGCCTGAGAGGTAAAGGCAGTCGGCTTTAGGAGGCCAGTTCTAACACTCGTAAGGACTGGGCTTTCTGGTGACGCCACCAGGAATGTCACCAGGCAGGATGTCCAGAAGACCTCAATTCACACTAGTCTCAGAGTTCTCCTGCCATCCCCTCCCCGGCCTTGACCTTCCCCCTCCTTCCTATCTTGCGTCCAGCGGCGCCTGAGCCCACGAGGGAGCCGACCCGCCCACTCCGTCCCGTGGCCTCCTTCCCCTGCACGCCAGGCCACTCTCCACGTCACGTGACACTGAGCAGGTGCTGCCCTTGAGCAGGTGCTGCCCTTTGACGCTTTCAAAGTCATGGCCTTCCCTGCAGGGCTTCCTTCCCAGATCCCAAGGCCTCAGATCAGAGTCTGTACAGAATCTGAAGTGACGGGATGAACAGAAGGGGACTGGCTCCCCCGACTGCCACCCCCGGCCAATAACAGGGCGAGACCCTGCTTCTCCGCAGCAGGCGTGCTCACCTGTATCCGGCCAGAATGTTCATGAGCGTGGACTTCCCGGCCCCGGAGGGACCCATGATGGCCACCAGCTCCCCGCTGTTGAACTTCCCAGAGATCCCTTTCAGAAGGGTCTTGTATCCTGCAGAAAGCACATCATAGCCGTTTCCAGCTGTCAATCACGGGGATAGTGGGCTTCACCGCCAGGCAGTACGAGCAAATCCACAAGGATACTTGACGTAACTGTGGCCTTAAAGCAAGATTTTACATGCACGGCATAAAATGCTGCACTCGGGGGTGAAAACCAGCCTCCTGTGTGCCTCTGTCTTCCTCAGTTGCGTGTCCCCTGTTATGTTAGCAGCGACCCGCACGAGTGCCCTGCTGTAATGTTTAAAAGCACTTGCACGTGCATTGTCTGGCCGTGCAGGGGATCCACCACCTCGTTTTGGAGTAAGCAGGTGTCCAGGGAGTCTGGTGTCTCCTTCAGGACCCCCGCAGCCAGTGTGAGCAGATCTTAACCCAGGGCCATGCCACCGGCCACGCCACTTCTGCCCCCAAGACGGTGAATGAGTGCCTTTATTAATGAAATGGTTATTATTTCCTTTATTTATCATTTATATACACATGAATTATTCATGCAAGATTTATTCATAAAGTTTCTCTTTCTAAATAATTAAAAATAGTATTAACTAATTAATAATTATGAGTTTATCATTTTGCAGCCACATCAAACTGCTTTGGAATTTCTGCCAAGTCTCCATCCTAGAGCCTCATAAAAGGGAAAGAACCACGTGCCGCAAAGAGAGCCGCGTCCGTCCGCCTCTGACGGACTCTTCAACGTGCGACAAACAATCAGACAGAGGCAGCCGGCCTCCCAGGTAGAGACTCCTAATTCAGGCCCATTTTCTCAGTTCCCGAGACACGTGCTCAGAAGGGCCCCTTCCAGGACCAGTCACACAAATGAACCCTTTTACCTCCCACACCCAGCACCCACAGCGGCCGGTGAAGCCCTCAAGGGAGCCCCTCATTTCAGACTTTCTCCCCAGTCACCGGCTGTATGCTCCTTGCACCCCCAAACCTGGAAGGGCCTGGGGGGGTTCTCGCCCAGCTATCTACTCGTCTTTCACAGATGGGGCACCTCAACACCGCACCTGTCACCATGTGCCACCTCGATGGGACAGGGAGTCCCTGAGGACTTGTTTAATCAGGCGGAGAGAAGCAGAAGCGAAAGGCAGGAAGCTTGTGGCCCTGCGATCTGCCTCATGACGGAGCACAGCAGTCGTCCGGGGAGATGAGCGCCGTTGGGGGGGGCGGGGTGGAAGGTGCAGAGGAACAGAGCACAAAGTCTGGGGGAGGAGCTCACGTTCCTACTGCTGGGATGTGGGAGACTTAGCGGAAGGAGCAGAGGGAGACCAGCGTGGGGCAGGGGCTGGGACCCCATGGTGGACAGACACGCGGCAAAGCCGGGGGTCAGCGGGGGCTTCTCCTCTGCAAGGTCAAGTTCCCGGTGCCGTGGGCCCTCAACAGGCGCCCCGGGGCCTGGGCCACAGGGACCCGCATGACATCACTGAGCGAGCACTGATCCCAAGCAGGCGTCTGCTCCTTCCCGGCCTCCCGGTGGGCCGTTCAGGTCGGGATCGGGGTTACTCCCGACCAAACCCTCCCTTGAGTCTGTCTTTCTGTGAACCAGTAACTGCCTGAGGATGTAGGTGCGCCACTGAGATGGCCACCTGGCCATGTGGAGGCCAAGTGCAGTGTGACGGCCAGGGGGTGGCCTTGGGCCCCGGGATTCTGAGAGGCTCCTCTGATGGCACCTGGGGGCTGCCCTTTGGTACTGGGGTGCACACTGGGCACCAGATAATAGCACGACTCACATCAGCTGTGATGCCTGCGGCCGCCACGCCAGGACACACCACGGGTGTGGGAGCGGTGGGCTCATCTGGCCCTTTCAGGGGGAAAGTGGGTCCAGAGGCATGTAGCCTGTGGTTTTGTCATTTAGAGCCACTGACTGGGAGTGTGGATGTGCCCATGACCCCCGTGCTGGGTGCATGACCCCCAACCAGGTGGGGCGTGGCACCGTGAGACTCATGCCTCAGGGAGGGATGGGCCGGCCGAGGGGAGTCCTCCTGCGGGGTCGGGCAGCAGAGGAGGCACCAGACCCGGCTTGGGGCTGTGCCTCTTTAATGTCAGAAACCTGCTTTTCTTGAGAAACAGCAGACACACATTTCGGATAGAAGACTCGTAAAAGTGACAGCGGAAACAAGAAATCACCAATTGGTCTGGACCCACAGGGGTCGGAGTTCACACTCAGACGTGGGACCCCCAGTGCAGTGCCAAGGGACCGGGCGCAGCCATTAGAAGCGAGTTTGTGAGTGTCCCACACGTGCACACTCTGTATCTGTGCGGGGAGTTCGTCCTTGGCTGCAGAGCCTTGCGCTTGACCCCTACAGAGATATGAGATGCATGTGAGGCATCCCAGCCCCTGCCCCACTTCCCAACGTGAGCTCGGCACAGCCCAGTTCTCGGCGTGATGGGGGAGCCTCCTCCTTCCTGTGCCGCGGACGCTCATTGACGCGCGTGCTCACCCTGAAGCTTCAGGTCAGGGTCAGGGCAGTGATTCTCCGGGTACCGCAAGGCAGACCCGCAGAGGGGCAGGGCCGCCGAGCGTCCATCGCCCCCCACAGCGTGCGGGCAGCCCGTCCCCCAAACAGCCAGACCAAAACTCATACAACAGAGGAGCAGAGAGACAGACACAAAGGCAGAGACGACAGTGCCCCGGGTCCCTCCATCACAGGAACGAGAGCTCTGCTCAGACACTGGGTCTCTCCATCTCACAGGAGGCTAGTGCCACTCCGTCCCCGGGACCCACGTTGGCGAACAGTACTTGAGAGGAACAGTGTCAACACCTACAAGGTGCTGGGGACACACAGCAGCACAGCTTCAGCTGGGGGCGGGAGGGGCACACAGATGTCTCATTGGGTAGAAACGTGCCCTTGAAGGGAAGGATGGAGGACAGCCCGGCCCTTGGGCAAGGGACCAGCTTCGCTCACATCTTCCCCTCTATGCCTCACAGCAAGCTGGGTGCTAGGCTCCTGGCCACACTCTGCAGCCGAGAAGCAAGGGCTCAGAGAGGGCTACTGACCTGCCCCAGGCCCCACAGCAGGTCAGCAGAGAAGCCAACATTCTGACCGCTCTGTGATTCTCCAGCAGCGGCTCCTGCATCGGGTGGGGGCCTGCGGCTCCGCCGGTCCCGGCAATGCCGCTGCAGGATTTGGGCAGCTGCTCCCGCTCCCCCGTGTGGCCCGACTCCCACTGACTCAGTGCGCAGCTCAACCCACAGGCACGTGCATTCCGTCTGCGACCGTGTGATGCACTTCACAGAGAAAGGGAAGAAATGACCTGCCTTTCCTCCCCAAAAGACAGGATCCTCTCCATCGTTGGGGACCAAGGGCGCCGCCTGGCTGCAGGCCGACCTGAGCTGCTCCGAGAGCTCAGGCTGAAAACTCCCTGCGTGTGTCCCAAGAGCTCGGAGCGGGTCAGACCCCCCTTACCCTTCCAGATCTTCTTCCTTCCATAAAACGCCCTCGAGTTAAAAACAAAAACTTCCCGCCAGGGTGAGGGAGGGTCTCTTGTCATTTAGGGAGGACTCAGCCCTGCGTATATGAAGCCCTCGGAGCCCCTGGGAAGAAGGGCAGTGTCCTCTGACCCAAACAGATGCTCCCTGAGTCTCCCTGTTACTAAGGCAGCTCCTGCCCCTCAAGCCGGCTGCGCAGGGACAAGGGGCTGCAGAGCAGCGCGGGGCTGGCAGTGCCGGCAAACCGGGGCCTGCGTCTGAGCCCCCGGGGACCCGTTAGGCCCCCGATCCTGGTTACCCTCAGAAAATAACAAGCAGCTTGTGCCCCAGACTTCAGTGAGCGCTCGCTCAGGCTTCAGTTAACACGCTGTGGTTTTAGAACAGGCGGCGGTTCCTAGAGAGGCTCCCGGGGTCAGACCGCCGCGGGTTTGGTGTCTGAGCCCCGGTAAAACAAAGGCGTCCTGTCTCGGCGTCCCGGGCATGCGTGGATGGGAGAAGGAGGCGCCCTGGGGAAGGGGCTCGTGCTGCGCTGGTCTGAAGGTCCAGGACCATCCTGACAGGCTGGGCGCAGACCCCGCTGGGGGGACACGCAGGCCATAAGCTCTGCGGGGGCGCATCCGCTCGCTCGCTCCAGACCCGGCCCAGTGCTGTGCCCACAGGATAAACCACCGCCGCCCGGCTTTGCTGCAGAAGCAAACGAGCGTGGTTGCGTTCCAACGGACCTGACTTACAAACCGATTTGGTGGTTTGTGACCTTGTTCTGGAACTCTGGAGTGGGGACTGGCCGGCACCAGAGGCGCTGGGCTCCCGCCAAGTCATTCTCTCAGGCAGGTGCACCTGCTCGAGGGGAGAACGGGGAAACTGAGGCAGCTCTGAGCGGAAGCGAGCTTCATTCTACACCCAGCAGCAAGGGGGCACTGGCCCAGAGCCACCTCAGTAGCACGAGACAGCCTGCCAGGGTGCCCGTGGGTGGAGGGCGTGAGGGCCCCAGCTCCACATCACACCCAGACTCCCCATGGCGCCATCTTCACCAGGGAGCCACACACCGGCCACTGGGGGGCCCCCGGGGCCGTGGTCTCCAGAGCCAGTGCAGGGGCCGCCTCCTCACAGGCCCTCAGGGCTGCTGCTACCAGCCCCCACTTCCATGGGAGCCTGAGGAAAGGTGACCCCAGGGCCCATTCTTTGATAGAATGTTCTAGTTCCTGTCTCCAAAGCTCGCCCAGGTATTCTAGACACACGTTCGTTCAAAGCAATCCCCAGCTGCGACTCCCAGGGTGGTTTCCAGCCTTGAGTGTTGGGGGCTCAGGGGGAGTTCTGGGGGGGGAGGGAGGGAGGAAGGGTGGAGGGATAGGGGAAGGGAGGGAGGGAGGGAGGGAAGGAGGGGGGAGGGCTGGGGGAATGGAGGATGGAAGGAAGGAGCGAGGCAGGGATGGAGGGATGAGGGATGCGGGAAGGGAGGGAGGGAAGGAAGGAGCGAGGCAGGGATGGAGGGATGAGGGATGCGGGAAGGGAGGGAGGGAAGGAGGGAGGCAGGGGTGGAGGGATGGGGGCTGGGCAAGGGAGGGAAG